CATAATGTTTTAAACTCATTGTATTCACAAAACAATTCATATTTAATCACACTGAAGGAATATATTTGTTCTTGGTTTTAAATAATGTAAAATCAACTTATTTTCCCTTTCTATCTAGCTCACATTTCTAAGTTACTTGCTTCTAATTTAGACAGATAGTCTCATCCCGATTATATGACTGCTAGCAATGCACTCTAAGCCCATAATTTAATCATATGGATGAAAAAAGGATTTATCTAACACATGTGCATGTATACATTTAAGATGCATGACCACACACTTATACACACATAGAAACACATTTTCTCATGGATCTTAGCTTCATTTTAATACTAGACTATGCATATTAAATGCCTCAGAAGTTAATTTCATTTGTCTCATAACCTGACTCTCATTTGGCAATATTCATGCTGCCTTATTTAAATCTGTGTCATTTTAATGGCCACAAACTGTGTTCATATGGATCCAGTGCAGGACTGAGCCTACTTACAGAGATTATAAAGTTGCAGAGTGATACCACAGTAGCCTTTTGCCAGAAAACTTCTGACTACAGTTGTAATGACGAACAGCTAACATCCACCTGCAGAATCCAGCCTTCTTCCTCATAAATCCTCCTCAAAAAATGTGGGCCCTCAGACCCTTGTGATCTGTCAGCTACATGGGTGAAGGGTGATGGATTCATTTAACATTTAGGTCACAAATTAAACCATAGGCAGAGGTGCTGCTGTCTGCATGTTAGTGACTGGATACGTGAGGCAGGTTTTCAGAAAACTAATATTGGCAGCAATCTGTGGACATTAAATGCACATGTGTCTGAGGACACAATTTTGTAGGGCCGTGCCTTGGTGGGGTGGGATGACCTCACTTCCATGATGCTTCAGCAGGGTGTGTCTCATATTCAAGTAAACTTACTAAAAGCTGGCTTAAGATCTCTGTGACAAAAAGCAACTACAATAATCTCCATAGCAGAGCAATTAGACTAACAAGGATTTTATGCCTATGGCCTTCCACACATGATACTAGAAAGGCTTATAGAAAGTATTGGCCTTAGTGATAGCAAATGTCCTACCTGGAAGAATTATGCCAGTAAAATGAAATTTTGCAACTTTGACATTTTAACTACTATGTTTTGATGTTTGGCTTTATGAAGTCTATTTTCCCTTGCCTGGCTGCTACAGAGAGGCTACTGTTAGCTATGTAGGCCAGGTCTACTACACAGATTTTTACTGGCACAGCTACATGTGTTGGGTGGGGATGAGGGAATTACATCCCAAATAAAGATGGCAGTGCCAGCAGAAGTCCTGCTTGTGTTTGAGCAGCTAGTATAAACACGATTAAAACAGGTCCTTTCACAATACAAACTGCATATCCATCTGGAAGGCTTGCTTTCTTACCTTAGTGCTTTCTCATTTGTAGATAAGGACTGTTTTGTGGTGTCAGGCAGAAGCATACAAACATTTCTCAAATTCTCTGATGTGAATCATTGTGGACCACCCAAGAAATAACACCACTGCAATAGTTCAGTTTCTTTGTAAAAACAGGGATACTCCCAGAAGAAAGGCTAGAAGTGACGCCAAGAAATAGCATACTAGCCCAAAGCAATAACAACAGATAACTCAGATAGTATCTCCTGCATGGCTAACTCTCTTAATAACCTTATCCAGGCTAAAAAAACCCAAACCAAATTTAAAAAAACGAAACCAACCAAAAAGCCCCAAACCCATAACAACAAAAATCCCTCACCCAACTAAATAAAACCACAACAACAACAACAAAAAAAACCTAAACAAAACCATACATGTAAAACCCCCAACCAAATAAAACCCCCAAAGGAACAAAGCTGTTTTCTCCCCACTAAAATTACTTTCATTCTCTTTTTCATAAGTATATTTCCAGCTCTTTCTATTATGGAAGCTCAACCAAGAAAAAAAGGCTATTTTTGTTTGTGGAAAATGAATTTCTTTCAGACTGTTTGTTCCGTGAAACAGCTTGACTAATTTATTTCCATTGTCATTCATCTTCAGAGTTCCCTGAAGTGACTGCAGTTCCTATTAAGCTAAATATTCTAAGTCTCTAAATGTGTTTTTGTTTGTAGACCCACCATTTTGTGGATGAAATCTGGGCTATTCAGCTATTTAACCATCTGTTATGCTCCCAAATTAGATTCTTAAAATGTCTAGGTGCAGTCTCAGAAATGGTAATGAGCATTTAAAATTCAGCTCCACAAGATCTTACTCCTTGCGGTCATTGACGTTATTACCAGAGGAAGTTGGGATGGAAGTCCAAGCAATCTTTTGGTTTATTGGAGTATCATTTACCATGATGCACAGATGTGAACATACAATTTGCCCATCTGTCAAGGTTTATATTTATACAGCCAAAGAGATTTCAGTGTAGATTCCTGTCTTACTCCCAGTCAGTCATTCTGTGCTGGTATCTGGGTTTTTTCATTACTTGGTTTCTCATCAGAGATAATTAAAAAAAAAAAAAACCACAACAATCTGAATAATTCCTGCAGGCAATTTTCAGGCTTCTTTTTTTATTCTTAAAAATTCTGTATTTGTCTTCTGTTTCTCCTTTGCAGTCTTAAAACACCACCTCCTATCTTTTCTCATCTGTTTGATAAGAGAGCAGACACAACACGCAACAGGAGAGGGAAATGTTCGTGTCATACAGAAGGGCAGATGTTAGTAACTGTTTCAGTCTGCTGTTTTGCTTTGGTTCTCATGCAATTGGGAGCATCTGCACCATCTTGCTTGAATTCCATAATCTCTTCTGATGAGATTCCTCCTATTTTTATTTTTTTTTCTTTTCCCTAACTTCAAAGAAGTATTTTATCTGGAATTTTTCCAGAATCTTCATTCACAAGACAATGTTGTCACATTCTCTTTACAGCACTAGGACCTCTGTAGCTGCTTTCCATATTGTTACTTCCTGTGTGTCAGGACCTGCTACACAGGAGCTGGTTTGGTCAACAGCTCTTTGGTATTACAAAATGATTTCTGATGACTCACTCTGGTGAGCAATGGTTTGAGCCCTGCTGGTGATGTCCTACAGCACCAGGGCTCAGGTCACACAGCCTCCCTCAGCACTTAGGGCGCTGATCAAGAATGAAGAGGTTTTATCCAGAGGACAAAATCAAATGAAAGTCAAATTTCTCGTGTTGCTGACACTGAAAAAATGCTTCAGAAATATGTAAGTTGATCATATTAGTGGAGACAATGCCAGGATGTCAGCCTGTGGGTAAGGGAACATAGATCAAACTAGCCATCCAGCTAAGGACCCAGTCCAAAGGTTACTGGAGTTGGCAAGTTTGGTTTAGCAGCCAGGGCAGGGGAAGGAGAGGCTGTTGGACGAGCTGACACTCCAAGGTCAGTTCAAACGTATAAGAGATAAAATGCTACTCTAATAACATTGCAGGGAAAGCCTTATGCTGTTATCTGCTTTTCCTTTCCAAACACAGGTTTGTCATAATATTTTATAGGGACAGTTTTGCTTTAAAAGTTATTCACTGTTCTGCGTTCCAGCCTTGTTTTATCCTTTCTGTCAGACACCAGCTATAATTAAGTTCAAAGACTTACATGAAAATCCTCACGGGAATCAAGACATTCCTACTTTATGCTCCTGCACCGATTGTTATTTGAGACTCACACAGTGTTTCACCACTGATAATTAATCTTTCCAGGAGCTCTCTGACACAGGTGAGAGCTATTAATCAGGAGCAGTGATTAATGAGAAGAATGCTACGAAGACAGATGGCACCTGCCAAGAAGAGAGGGCTGAGCTGAACCCAGAGCATTGTCATGCTGGAGAACTTCTGATGGCCTCTCTCTGTTCCTCAGTTTCCCCTCTTGAACAATGATGCCATTCTTGGCAGCTGGAACCAGATGATCTTTATGGTCCCTTCTAACCCAAACCATTCGATAATCCTTGATGTGGAGTGTCCAAGCCTTACCAGGAAAAACACTTTATTGAAGAATTAGGTATTAAGCCACTTAGATGGGGTAATAAAGAGATGCTGATCAAGAGGCTTACTCGATAGAGCACAGTAAAACATTAGGGAAGCTGTGGCACGTTGTGACTTTTTGTGGGTTTGTGCAGGCTGATCTTGTATTTGGTGTGCAAACACAAGGACGGTGAAATTTCAGCCAGGATGAACATTAATAGGTACTCTGCAAAGAGGTGTTTCAGGAAGGCTATTTATTAAAGGGAAAGTGGCAGATTGTAGAGAGTGGAAAGTAAAACACATGAATAACTGTGTTTGTTTAGTTCAGAATCATATACTTCAGTTTATACATTTTAAACATTTTCCAGTTTCATTTGCCTGCTAACTTCAAATGTCAGGATGCTAATTGCCCTGCTGTGACATTTAATGACATCATTGTCACCTAACAGAGAACAGGAAGGGTTCTTTTCTCGGCTTTCAGGTTTTTTTAAGGTACAGTAGAAAATAAATTAGGTAAATACATCCTTACAGCTTTTACTTGCTGGCACATGTTACAGGAAGAGTTTAAAAAAAAAAAAAAAGTTGATTCATGTTACAAGTGATCACAAGGCAGCCTGGCCAGTAAAGCGGGGCTAGTAAAACCATAATGAAGACATTAAAAATTCTCACCTAATGATTCTGGTTTGCAAGTACTGTGCTGAATGCTACTTTCAGCCGTCTTTCAGCAATAGACCTTGTGCCCTGTAACAGGCAACCTGTGTTCCTCAAAGGCATGTTTGCACAGCCACTGAATATGGATAACAGGAGAGAACAGCATCTCTTTGCACTACCTGAACAAGTAGCTTCTTTGCATTAGACCAGTCCATCTCTCATGGTTGTTCAGGACTGTACAGTGCTGGCACAACTGACAGCTTGCTCTGTGCCTGCTCCTGTTTGGATGGGTTTTTCTTTTGCCTCTTACTGGTGTTCTGATTTTGTCCAGAGCCCTCAGACCTGGAGATCACATAGACTGCCCTCTGACTTAGTCTCTTTCCTTCTGTCACCTTCCTCCTAGGTCAACGTGATTTTGATTTAGCTGATGCTCTCGATCATCCAGGTAGGTAAATCTCCTGTCCTTATTTTACTATGACATTTAGACTCAACAATAAAACTTAAGTCCTTTTCCTTGAGGACTGGTGTATGAAGTAGCTACTACTGAAGTTAAAGATATATAGAACTGAGAAATGCTAGATTTCAATAACAGATTTCAATTTCATAAAATCAAAAATTTCTTTAAAACAAATAAATAAGAAAGGCTTTGAAAATTTATCACTTCACTTTTAGCTTCTGCTGTGATACATAAGGATTTATTGAATGCAGCTTTCTAGATTTGCAGATAACTTCTTTTGTTAAGTTGAAAAAGATTAAGCTGTTATTGTTTATTGGTATGTCATTGTGTCCCGCAGACGACATTATTACTAGGAAGCCTACAGTGATCAGAAGACCAACAAGACCTGTGCTGAGTGAGTAATGAAGACATAACTGGCCATAACTTATTTTAGATGTGTAGAAACTGTCTCCCATGAGATTCTTGATCATATTTGCTAAAGTACCATAGCTGAGATCATTTGTGTGAATACAAACTTTCTTCTACATGCAAAGTAAGGGGTTTTTTTGGCAATTGCCAATTACATGGCTTTGTTGCTTCCAGTAAGGCTTTAGAGTATAACTGGTCACTGAAAACATTTTGTTTCTAAAAGATCTTCTTCATGTTCTTCCAGCCTGAACTGAACTCCCTGGGTAATATAACAAAGGGTAACTGTTGCCAAAAATGGGTAACTGTTCTACATTTTTTTCATTACCTTTTCTTTCAGCATAAATATTCATGATGCCTGATAATGGACTTGGAAAAGAATCAGAAGGAATCTGGGTATTCTTTCTTCTCCCCACGTATTTACTTAACATTATCTAGAACTGATTGTGAAAAAGACCTGTGCCAGAAAGGAAAAAAGGCTCTGAACAGTGGAGAGAACCAAAAGGTTTTATTTGTAGTCCTGAGAATGACAAATGATGATTTTCAATGATCTTCATTATTGTCAAAAAAAACCCCAAGCAAACTCCAGACAACAAGATAACTACACATGCATTTATGATGGAATTTTGTGATAATACAGAGATTTTTCCAGCTAAATTACATTGAAAGATTTTCTGGTTATCAAACAAAATACCAGAGTCAGGAAATGCAGGATAACATTATCCCACACAACAATGTCAGTCTTTTTCTGGATAAAAATGGCAATAAGTTTTTAGGTATATGAAAGGAGTTACATTCCCACATGATTCTCTGGCTCACTCTTTGAAAGAACAGTGGCAGCTTCTTGTGAACGTGGTAGCTACTAAATCCTGTGAAGGTTGCATTCTTCCTTCCTGCTTTGTTTTGAAAAGGAAATATGTGTTTGGCCTAGATTAGAAGTGTCTATTATAAAATACTGCTAAGCCACTGCTCTCCACTGAGTTTACTGTCCTGACTTCCTTCAAAGTCAGTGAAGAGAAATCAGCATGTCTACAGATGATTCATATCACTCTAAATGTAGATTTGTTCTTATCCTACTGTAGACATTTCAAATGGGTTACTTGAATTGTGCCCTAAAAGACTCTGTCCTTGGTCATGTTTAAAGGTAACCTGGGGATGCCAATGTCTCAGTGAAGCTGCATCAGTCAGGTGAAAGGAATTTGATTTTTAGGGACTCCCAAAACTGTTAGAGGTATGACTATGAGATGATTATTTGCCCTACCTGAGTCAGCTTCACTGATTCTTGGGAATGAAGAACTCCATGTTTTCCAGATCATTTTGGGATCTCTTTCAACACTGAAGAGGATTACAGGAAGTATAAAAACAATTAAAACTAATTTAAAAAAAAATTGTGTTAAAATCAATTACTGGATTTGGAAAGTGCAGAAAGATAATTCAAAAATATGTCTCAGTATCTGTCTAATGCTACTTCTTAACCTCAGGGTTTCCTCTATGTCTCATTCAGCCAGTATCATTGAGAAATGAGGCTGAGATGATGTTTTGGCTCAGCTGAGGCAAATTAATGTAGAGGGCGTGTCCTCCAGGCATCACTTCCCACGCACCTCTGCCTGAGTTGAAGCTCTCTTGTAGGCACCTCCCATCTAGCGTAACAGCATTCAACACAGAATTTAATGGAAGGTGATGTTTATTTACAAAATCTCTAAAAAAGTTGATTTTATCCACTCTCATTCTTCCTGCCATTGATTTAATTCAGCCATATGCTCAAACCCACATACATACTCATGAGCACCAAGATATGTATGCTTAGGTGGCCTGGTGAGCGCCATGCTAGCTACTGAGTACGTATCCTGTCTCCGTGGTTATTCTAGATCAGAAACGACAGGCTAGTTTATGTACAGATCTTTTACACCCTTGAGGAGTTATCAGCTATTATGGTCATTTGCTTCATAATCTTGCTTACTTCAGCACTCTGAACCCTAGGCCAGATTGCTGCCTACTATCTGGTATTGCTTATCTGGGGAGCAAAGACTGTGTCTATTTCATGGGTGGGCGAACAGGAGAAGTAGTGGAATAGGTGATATGCTGCAACCTTGGGCTTTAGAGCGCCCTTCTGCTTTTCCTCTAATGACAAGTCATCTGTGCTGTCATCTTATCAGAGCACAGGCCTGGTGGTTTTGACAGACATGACACATTCCTCAGTTTTACTGCTGGGAATGGTGACCTTTATTGTCTGTTCTTTTAACTCTTTGCTCTGCTGTTTTTCTGGTCCCTGCAGACACATGCATTTCCATTTGTATTTCTTTATATCATCCTTACCACTTCTGAAACAATTCTCTGCATGAACTCTCCAGAGCAAACTCCTGCATTTTACCCAACTTCTTCATCTCAATAATAAATTGAATCCAGTTTGCAGTTTATTGCTTCTCATTGTTAGCATTTGACAGGTAAAGGTATTTTTGAAATGCAACTCTCTGCTGGCCACACGCAGATAGGACTGACACCTGACAAGAACAAACCTAGTCATGTAGTATGAATTTGATTATTTTCCTGACAGATTTCCTGGTGACAGCAAAGCATTTATAAATTGTTGCACAACTGAGACTAGATATTGGGCAAAATCAGCTTCCCTGTCCTTCTGCATATAAAGAACATAAGAAGGCAGAGTTCTGCATGGTGATGTATTTGGATGGATTTTCCTGGATTTGGATGGAATTCTGACACAATTATAATGGAAAAAAACCCAGTTGAGTGTCCATCTTATTTTCTGTGGCAATAAGCATCGGTATCAAAATTTAGGTAGATTTTGCTATCTCTTCTGATTTATTCTAACACCCCACATTTATAAGGAGAAAGAAAGGGATTCTTGGAGTTATGACATCCATCTGACATATTTCTGCCTATCACTCAGTGACCTTTCAGAGCTCGCCATCATTCCATACACACCTTAACGTATCACCCACATAGTCATATCCACACCAGCATGTTGAAATGGAGTTCCTCTTGTTTATGCATCTGCAGCTCACAGACAAATTGTTTACTGGGTGGAAGTTCCATCCCAGGTACAGTGGGACACGTGTACAGTGCTGAGAGAATAGTCATAGCCTGTTCATTCACTGAGTAACATGCACATGCATTTAAGTATATTTGAAAACCTTCATAGCTCAGCCAAAGAAAAACAGACTGTCACCCAACCTCAAACCAGCACATATGATTGTTTGAAGCAAAACTTTTTATGTCACCATGACTCTTACATAAATTAGTTAGTTCAGTCTCGCTCCCCAAGTAGGTTTATTACTTGCCAGTATTTGTTCTTGAAATGGGTATTCAGTTTGTGCAGTTCAACAAATTAGACTTAAGCTAAACATGCATACACCAGTTATAACGACAGACGTAATTGTTAATAAATAAGTATATTTAAAAAATAGCTATATTTTAATACTTTAACATGGCTAATTTTTACTTACGTATTTGCAGATATATTAAAGGTATTGATCTTGTTTCCACTATGAGATTTATTCTGAGCTTATTTAAAGCAGGCAAAAATCTTTTGTATTTTGAATAGAAAATATTGTATTGTTTTTCAATTACTGTGTGGGCAAATATCAAATTCTGTAAGAGTTTTCAGGAAAAGTGTAATGCCTTATTTGCATTTGTTGGTCTGATCTTAAAAAGTTGCTTTTCAAACATTCAGCTTTACATTTTCTATTAAAACTAACATTTCACTTCCCTCGAGAATTGCGTGTAACTCACTTCTCTACATCTTTCTCCTTTCCATTTTTAGACAATGATCTGCATTTAGGAGATGCTTTTGGTGGGGGTGAGTACCGTCTTCTCAAATATAATGTGGGGGTTTTTTTCCATGTCTTTTTCAGAAGTCTGCCTAATTTGTGAAAGGAGATTTCAAAACTGGAGGAAGAACTGTGGTAGTGGGAGTCACTACAACTCCTGTACATGCAGGCCTTTTGCCAGAGGCCATAGCACAGAGTGGGGCCAGCAGGATGGGCTGTGTCTGGTTGCTAGCTATGGGACCTTGCAGGCTGGCCTACCTGTGTGCACTGGTCAGCTACAGTTTACCGTGACAGGCCACCATGGTCATGGCTGGGGAGAGGATGTACTGCTCATTCAGCCCTGATGCTTCAGGGTGGTTGCCTCTCACAGCAGGCTGAAGACAATAGGTGATGGCAGTCATTTTTCAGCTACCAAAAATGACCTTGTCTAAGATCAGTAATGAGAGCAAATCAGAATGCAGGAAGCAATGTATCAGAGATGAGCACTGATGGCACAATATAGCTTAAGATTGAAGTGCTCAAGCTGTTTTAACATGGTACAGCTTCCAAGTGTTTCTGTAACATCCAGACCTGACCTAGGAAGATTTCACGGTGCTGTGCTGAGCTGTGTAGACATGGTAAATCCTTGACTTGCAGAATTTTTGAACATTTTGTTTAGCATGTTTAGAGGTATATCAAGGATGTGAAGTACTCTAGAAAGTTTCTTGTACGTTGAAATTATCTAAAATGCAAGTAGCATTGAATCAAAGCCTAAAATTCCACTCAAATCAAGGCTCCACAAAAGAAAAATTACTTCTCAGCCCAGAACCTCTGAATTATGATTCCAGTTGCAGTGGTTTGGTTTACTCATGTTCCAGCCTTGGAGAATCATACC